CGCCAAACCCACAGCGGGGGATGATCAAGGTGGAGCGTCTCTCCTGAGAGGGACAAGGGAAAAACTCACACCCAAATGCACTAAATATATATTGACAATACCTGCTCTTAATGTTTTGAGGTGGTTAAAAGGTGAGGTTCAGTTGGACCTCCTCCCCAAGGCGAGGCAGCGGGCACACCTTGGCTCCACCCTTGGGACAAGGAGTTTTTTTGGAGAAGAGGAAACAGCAAGGCATCGCAGTGCTGCCCAAAACAAAAACGTGGCGCAGCAAGCAGCTTCCATACAATACCTCTTAACGGAAAAAGAAAAGGACAATGGGAGCGTTAGATGCGCTCGATCAAAACACCCATTGCCGCACGCGGGCATCATCATGAATACAGTACGCCCAAACTCTAAATGCTTGAACTCGACGTTACATAGTCTATCTCGCCTGAACGTCGCCGCCATGGATGAAGCCCCGGGCGAACCTCCGGCAGAAGCTCGTCCAACCGAGGTACTCGCCATTTCTCCTTCAAGTGTAGACTGCATTGGACAACGTAACCATGGGGGGCATGCAACGGGTCGGCGGTCAGGCATATGGTCTTGGATACGGGGAGCTTTGCCTGGAAGCCCCTTGATCACCAGCGGCAAATTTTCCATTTTCAAGACGCGAACTGCTGTAAGTGCATAGATCTCTGCTGCAGCTGCTGCTGGTGCTGCTGCTGCCTCTTGTGACATGTCTTATCTTCAACATGATAAGATCGCCGGACATGCCTGGCGGCTCTATCTCGGCAAAAAACAAACGGTCATGCCAGGCTCTGAAGAAATAACATTGGGTGTCTGCCAGCGTCTTCATACACCAAGACACGCGCTTGCAGCCGAAACCACACAGCTACTGTAACTGGACCGGCCAAAGCATGCATTAACCACCCGCGACACGCTGTGCAAAGCGGGTGAACTAGAGCAACACCGCGGCCGAGCACAACACGAAGGAGGGCCCCACCCAATGATCGTGTATTTTCCGACCCAATGTCCAAAATCAAGGGCCAGCGCTGTTGCACCCGCGGGCGATATTGTACATGGCCATGCATTCAAACACGGACCATCAAGCTGGCATGAGAGAACAAAGATATCCTAAGAGAATGATGTCGCCGCCGCGCATGTAGACTGCTGCTGCTGTTGACCCTACTTCCTTCCAGACCATGTGCCCTTGATGGCAATCGCCTACAGTATTCCCACCCGTCCTGCTCAACCTGGATGTCTCACCTCCTCTGTCTCTTTTTCGTGGAGAACAAAGATCAACGGCGGCAGCGAGGCGAGTTGAGTCTGGGCTGCTGCTGCTGCTGCTGGGAAGGTAGGATATCTTGACAGGAGATGGGGGCGAAAGAAGGCCGCTAGCTTACCTGCTGGTGTTGACGCTGGGGTTGGCACTGCTGAGAACAGAGGGGACGAGTAGAAGTGTGGTCGATGGGGATGGAGCGCGCGTTGCTCAGACCAACTCTCCGGGGGCGCAAAGGACATAAAGATAGTAGCCTGTACCCTCCCTCTATGTAGGCACGCGGCCCCTGGATCAGCTGCTTTTTTACTCTCGACGCTTTTCCTCTCTGCTTCTCTCTCGCGGATACAGAATCCCACGTTCACCAACATCCACCAGAGAGAGAGAGAGAGAGAGAGAGAGAGAGAGAGAGAGACGAGAGAGAGACGCTGCTGTGTGCTGAGTACTCAGAGTGCAACATGTATCACATGCTTGCCTACAGTCTCCTACTCTGCTTTTGCAGACCCACACTTCACTGTGGCTAGATCTCGCCCTGGATCGTGGATTTGCGAGCAGCAGGGAGCCTAGGATGAAGCATGCCGGCTGTGACACGGGCGGGTGCTCACAGCACAGCAGCAGTGGTGGTGAGTGAGTGGGTTATCGTATTGCGCTGGCTGCAACCTGCGAAAGAAACGCACGCTTGCCGTGATGTGTACTTGTACTACTGCTGTAGGTTGATGCTCGGAAAAACTTGCGCCGCGCGCTTGGCTACCAATTGAATGCAAAAATCGATGATTGATGCAACGCATCAGACTGCAGCAGTAGCACAGGACAGTGCACAGCTCATGCGACAAAGTGGCCTCGTTTCCACTCGGTCGTCCTGACTCTCGACTGCTCCTATCAGTCATGCCGCAGTGCCTGCCAGTCTCGTGTTTGATCCTGGCCAATGTAGACACAGCTGTAGCACACGTGCTGGCTATCTCTGTCTCTCTCACTTGTTTTCGCCGTGTGGCAAGGTTTTGGATTTTTTCCTCTCATTTTTGAAATTTTCGGACGTGTAATCTATCTCATTTTTTGGTTCTCTCCGTGGTGTTGCAGCTCTTGTCAGCTGGCTACTGGCTACTCCATGCTACCCACGCGGAATAACTTTCTTGGTTGGTGAACCATCACCTGGTAACCGTGTACCACACACCACACCAAACCGCGAGTAGGTTGCCAGGTGGGATGGAGAAAGCTGTTGGGCACGTTTCCTCGGCACGCACGACCCATCCATTTCGCGCGAACAATTCGGAACAATTCTGGCAACGACCACAACCCAACGCCACTCTGCTCTCATCTCCCCATGCAGCCTGGGGGACTGGACTCACGTGTGTAGACAACAATACTTCTGCTCTCTGCTTTGTTCCCTCTGGTGGTGAAGTACCAGACCAAAGGTCTCCACAACACAACAACAGCTCCATCTGTCCAAGCCATCTAAAAGAGCCCAATACTTGCTACGTTCATGCGTAGACTATATGCATGCGGAGACGAAAATGTTCCAAAGAGACCAATCGCCAAAAGCGATCACCGGAAAGTCGTTGAACCAATCACTGCTGCTGTGTTTGATAGGGGTGACAGAAGTGTTGCAGTCGCTGTGGTGGAATATGCACAGGTAGCAGTCGTGCTTTGGTTTCATCAGCCCATTTTTGTGCAGATGATCACCAATAACCACGAACCCTGCCTTTTTTGCGTCATGCAATCGAACGACAGCAGTTAGCTGCCTCCCGTCCGATCTCTGGTCGACGTCAATGGCAGCAGTTGTGGAAGCTGCTGTTCTTGACGCTGCTACTTGCTCACCTCGATTTCATCTCTGGGCCGTTCGTGGATCCTGTGAAAACAACGGTTTTTCATCTTTTCTTCGCCTCGTCACGGATTCATCACCCTCTACGTTTGTCGTGCGGGAGTGCGGAGTGCGGGGTGGTGGTGATTGTTGTTACATGTACCGGAGCTGTCGTAGAACTGCGGCGGGATGCGGATGCGCCGAGGAGGAACAAAGCCTCGGATGGAACCTTTCATTGGGCGTTTCGACGTTTGTTGTACTGCTCTGGTACCACCGCTGCATCGTTCTAGCTGATGTTTCCACACTGTTGTAGTTATTGTGACTTTGCCCTGCGTCCTTTTTGCCCTTTTCTTCGTGAACAACAGCACGCACGCATCGTCATCGTGAGCAGGCATGAAAAATAGGTCGGCAGGTGCTGCTGTAGATTACGGACGCACCTAACGCGCCTGTACTTCGTGGAGTTTCGGGGACCAACGTCAGGCGCGCAGCGGTTTGGATGGACGAAAGGAAGCAACGTAGACAAAATAGATACGGTCACGCAAACCAAGGCTACGAACCTCCCTCCCACAACGCTATCACGCAACACGTCCTCCAAAATTCTCAATCAATTGATCGGGATTGGGGACCTGGTAGGGTGGGATCCACAACAACATGCGTTGTACATCGATGTATCAATAATGCTAGCGGGCTGCTTAGACCACCTCCAGCTTCACCTGTAGTTTACTTTAATATCTACTTCATCGACGTGTCCCGAGGGTTCAAGATGGTAGGCATCGTTTCCGCCAAAGCGTGACCAATACGACGCCGGTTGCCGTGCCCATCCTCGGCTCATCATCGCATCAACCGAAAGGCAAACAGGAATCCTACATGAAAACAAGCGCGTGGGCTTGAGGCATACAGCAGTTAGTGGTCCAAATTGCCTTGAAAGCGATGTCTTCGTATGGAGGGCCGGCGTGGAAACGGAGGATGGCAAAGCCGGGGTGATCCGCCTTCTCCAAGAAATACGTGGGAGTATCCTCGCGATCGGTAAGGTCTGGGTAGAACACGTTGAACTTGCAGTCGATATAGCCCTGCGGCGAAAATTGTTGAAAGGGAACACGCGCGTAAGGATACAGGTTAGCGGCCAACGAGGTTGGAATACATTTTGTGAAGATCAGACCCGAGAGCGACAGAGTGAGCTGGTGCGGGTAAACTACAAGTGGTGGCCAAAAAGCGCACGTACCAGGCCTGTCGTGCCCGTTGTGTAGGTCCAAATATATACAGCAGTACAGTGTATGTCCATACGGCACGTACCACTGCATAGTTGTTGTGGTTATATGTCTCACGGTAGTCTGTGTTTGTATGTATTGTTCTTCATAGTTTTGCCGAGTTCACGAAGTTTGCTCTTTTGCGTATTCGGTAGATGTTTCGTTGTGGAACGGGCTCAAAGCTTAACGGGATGATTTGGACGTCCATAGTTCACTATCACAGAGAGAGAAGATTAATGACGCGACCGCGAAAAAAGAGACCCACGGGAGGGAAAGGGTACAAGCATAAATACGCATACCTTCAAAAAGCTCAATGACGCTTGGTCGGCCGGTAGTTTTTGCCTGCTGTGGGCATCTTGACCACGCACCCATTGCGAGAGGGGTGCACCATTGGTAGCTCTAATTTCTGCCGCGATGTCTATTTCATGGGGGCTTTGTCTCATCCACCTCGTTGCCTTCCGTAAGTTACAGGACTATTGGCTCTTGGCGGTTGCATTCACGTATGGAGACTCACTCGCGGTTTCGTCCATGCCTGTACCATACAAGATGGCTCTACCGACCGAGCGTCGGTGTAGTGCTACAGCCGCAAACGCATCAGCGACTCTAGTACTGCAGTACTACGCGGTGGTTCTGGCTACATAGTTCCCGCCTTGTCTTGTTTTTGCCACGTTTTCCTCGACACCGCAATCGAAAACCAGGCATGCAAATAGGGGTGTGGGTTGCTCTCGGGTACTTCACTCAGGCCATTAGCTTGGAAACGTCGGATGCCTCCGTCTACTGCGTCTTTCTCTGCAGCTTGACGGTGGTGAGAGCAGAGGTTCAAAAGGCCGTGATCCTTTTGTTGGGGTGTTTGCTGTGCAAGACCGACTCTATTCTGCTGTAAGTGTTTGATACGGTATTGTGAAGGCGTTCTGTTTAACTGTAACCGTCAGGTGCAGACAGTCCACGCGTCTGTGTGTGGATAATAAATCACTCTTTTTGTTTTCTCTACCAAGCCTCTACCACATACGCCAACCAGCGTACTACAGCTGTGGTACCGCCCAACAGGTTTTGAGCCACGTATAGCGAGGTAGGGGATCATCTCGAGTCAAATGGCGTCATCAGCGCAACAGCAGTCGTCAAATCATCTGCAGCGCGGATATGTCGCGTTCAGCGGAGAATCCGGCCAGTTTGTCGGTTGGGTCTCGCTTTTCCGTGCGCTGATGTACGAGGCAGACCTAGGTCGGGTCATGTCTGGAGCGGAGAAGGCTCCCACGGTGGCGGAGGATGCCGACGCCGCAGCGACCGCGACGTACGAGAGGAAGCTACAAAAGTTCCAAGAAAAGAATGGCAAACTCTACACGCGGCTTCTGCTGGCTACGTCGGACTGCCCGGAAGGATACTCGAGCCCGGCTTCGCAGGTAGTGCAGTCGTTTGGGCCTGTCGGGGACGAGGAGTTCGGTGACGGTCGAAGTGCTTTTGTAGCGCTCGAGCAAAAGTACCGTGTCGATGGGACTTTCAGAATGCAGCAGCTACACGATGAGTTGGCCGCCGTCGCGGTCACCGCTGCTGACAAGTACGATCCGGCTCGCGCAATCCAACAATTGCGCCGCATCTTTCACGAACTCGGCAAACTCGGAGACACAGTCGTGAAACAACGGCAAGCACATGCCATCCTAAAGGCCCTGCCCGACAAGCAATACGGCTCGTTCAAGACTGTACTGTTGGTAGAGTCGCCCACTGTTGGTAGCGGTGCGCTAGGCTTCGACGATATCGCACGTCGTGCCACACTCTACCACGCAATGCAAATTCGCGGAAAAGTGCTCGACCAAGACGATGGGTCGGGCAGCCACGGCCGTGCGTTGAACACTGTCACGCACGGAGGGGCACGTGGCTTCCGCAAGCACGGCGGCCGTGGTGGTCGTGGTGGTCGCCGAGGAAATGGCGGCAGAACTACAAACGGTTCGACGAACGGCTCGTCGAATGGGAACTACAGCAGCGGCGGCGGATCGGCCGCGCTGGAGGCGGCAGCGCGGGAAATGCGCAAGGTGCTCGCGGGAATTATCGCGGCAACAACGCCTCCGGTGGCCGAGGTAAGGGCCAGGACACCGGTCGGAACCGAAAAGGGCGCTGCCGCTACTGTCATAATTCGACAGAGCACGGGTGGCACAACTGCCCGCTCCGCCTGAGGCACGAGGCGGAGGAAGCCACTGAACAGGCTGATACTCACCACACTCAAGACTCCACCACTCAGGCATGGTTCACGCGGGTGGAGACTGAAGGCGATGTGCTGGAGGACTACGCCATCTCTTTCGGAAAAGACGTGCAGGTGCAGGATGCGCCTGCTGCGGCGCAGCCAGAGGAGCGCGCTGCTGGTGACACGCTGGTGCAAGACGCGCCGGTGCCGACGCTGCAGGATGCACGCGTTGTGTATGACCCGCAGGTACTACACATACCTGCTGCAGCGGTGGTCTATGACCCTGCTGCCAACGGATATTCTCAGACGGAGGAGGCGCCTGAGGACACCGAGCTCGTTGCGTTCAGCAGCGTGTTTCAGGTGGACAAAGAGAAACCGCAGGTCGTTGATGATTCCGCCTGCTACATTGATTCCGCCGCGTCCAGCCACATGGTGGATGAGCAGTCTCGCTTGTCCCATCACGTCCTCAATCCGGTAGATTGCGCTGTGCGCATTATCGGGTCGTGTGGCACATCCGACGCAACCAAGAAAGGTACCCTGAAGTTTGGGGTGCGCAATGATCAAGACCAAGTCGTGCGAGTAGCTCTGGAGGTTCTGCTGGTTCGGGGCCTTGGAGCGAACATACTTTCGGTTGGAGCGCTGGCCGAGAAGGGGGTGATGTGTGATCTGATGTCTACCCCGCCGGCGCTTCGCATGGGCAACCAGGTCTTTCCGATCTCGACCGCAGTGCCTCGCATGTACGTGCTGAATGTCATCATCGACGACGTCAACCTGGGCGCTGTAGAAGTAAATCGCACGAAGGTAGACGCTCACCTGTGGCACCGGAGGATGGGCCACTGCAACTCGCGAGCGCTGCAGCAGCTGGCGGACAAGGACACTACCGGAATCAGGTTCAATCGCAACATCGAACCAGGTGACTGCGGTGTTTGTGCGGTTGGTGACAGTAAGAAGGGCAGCCACCCCCCGTCTAACCGTCCCCTCTCGGAGACTCGGCTGGAAATTCTAAATGCCGATACGTGGGGGAAACATCCTATTGCTACATACGGGGGTTGCCAGAGTGCCGTGATGTTTACTGATGACGCTACTCGCATGAGGTTCGGCTACCTACTCAAGACGAAAGACGAAACGGCCGAAGCTCTTCAAACTCTGGTTCGGGACGAGGCCGACCCGCTTGGTCAGAGCATCGGCACGGTGCACTGCGACGGGGGAGCGGAGTATTTGGGCAAGTTTCTGGCGCTATGTAAGTCGCTCGGAATCAAGCTCACGAATAGCCCCCCCTATGTCCCGCAAGGGAACCCCATCGCCGAGCGTGGATTTGGTACCATCATCGGCACTGCCCGCAAGCTTCTCTTGGGAGCACCGCACCTTCCTCAACAGCTGTGGGGGGAGGCTTTCATGACTGCAATCTACCTCAAGAATCGGACCCCGACCGAAGTCCTGGGCGGCAAGGCACCACTCGAGGTATGGGAGGGGAAGCCGCTCGGAAAGATGCTTCACATCCACGAGTGGGGGTCGCTGGCTTTTAAGCACGAAGAGGTACGCGCCCGGTCGAACAAGTTGGCGGCCAGGGCCAAGAAAATGTACCTAGTAGGCTACAACTCCAAGGGTAGGTCGTATCGACTTTGGGACCCTTCGGAGCCTCTCAAAATCACCAACTCCGTGGAGGTATCGTTCCGTGAGAAGGAGATGCGCGACGTGATCAAGCCCAAACTAGGGCAAGATCCTCTCCCCGCGCCTAACTCAACATTCTATCGGCCTGGTCTGGTAGACTCTATCGAAGAAGAAGAAGAAAATAACGAAGAATCATCCGACGAATCGGAGCCGGAAGCACCGGCACCTCGCCGCAGCAGCAGGAACTCCGTGGCGCCGCAACGGTTGAATCTGTTTACGAAAGAACAGGCGTACGAGAGGACCGAACATGCTATGGTGACTGGAAGTGACTTCGGCAACCTCGGGAGAGGCAGTCCCGGGGAGGTGGGCTACATGCCTGCCGATCCTGCCACCTACGATGAAGCGATGAGTGGACCGGATGCAGCACGCTGGAGAGCGAGCATGAACGATGAAGAGCAGTCGCTCTACGACCACGACGTGTTCGACTGGGTGCTTCCGCCCGAAGACGCCCAACTTCTTCCGACTAGGTTCCACTACAGGTGGAAGTACAACCAAGAACATGTGCCAGTTCGCCCGAAGAGTCGCGTGGTGGTGCAAGGTTTTCACGAAGCTGACACGGGAGCGGATAAGGCTGCACCGGTGGCGTCTATGGAATCTGTCCATCTAGTGGTTTCCCACGCTGCTGGTTTTGGCCAAGCTCTCAGGCAGGCCGACATGAAGACGGCTTTTCTCAACTCCAGGATGTCCAAGAAAGACAAACCTATCTACGTAATACCTCCGAAGGGGTTCACGTGCTCGCAGGAGCAAACAAAGCTGGTCTGGCGACTTAAGGCGTGGCTGTACGGCCTACGCCTCTCTCCGAAAAGCTGGAATGGGACGTTTCACCTGTTCCTGCTGGAGATCGGGTTCGTCCCGAGCACCGCCGATCCGTGTCTGTACACGTTGAACGGGGGAGAGGTCATCCTGCTCGTCTACGTGGACGACATCCTACTTACCGGAGCCAAGGAGGAGCTCGTGACGACCATTATCGAACAGATGAAGGAGCGCTTTGAGACGGTGGACCTGGGAGAAGCAAAGTTTATCCTGGGAATGGCCATCCAGCGCAACCTCGAAGCGGGCACCATCCTACTGACGCAAGAAGCTTACACCAAGGCCGTGCTTGCTAAATTCGGCATGGCTGACGTGCGCGCGACGGCAACGCCGGCCGAGAAGGAGCCGGTTACGACCAAGGAAGAAAATGCTCTGTCGCCGGAGCAAACTACCATGTTCCGGTCGGCTACGGGTTCGGTCCTATACATCAGCAGGGGATCGAGGCCAGACATCTCTCACTCGGTGCTGGTACTCACGAAGAGCATGGCTAAACCAGGACCGAAGGCGCTTGCCAAACTGAAACGACTCATGCGCTACCTGAAGGGGACGACCTCTTTGGGCATCACCTACCGCAAGGACGCGCAAGGCGGAGATAAACTAACCGCTTACGTCGACTCTGACTTCGCAGGCGATCTTGACGATCGAAAATCGACTACTGGGGTCATTCTTACCCTCGCAGGTGGCCCGGTGGACACGACAAGTGTAAAGCAGACGGTCACTGCCACGTCGTCGGCTGAGGCAGAATACGTCGCAATGTCCAAGGCGTGCAAAATGATCCTACACTGGCGTCATCTTCTCAAGACCATCAATCGAGAGCAGACGGAGGCTACGGTGTTGTTTGAGGATAGCACTGCTGCCATATCGACTAGTGAATCGAACAAAGTAACGCAGAAAACGAAGCACATCGATGTCAAGTATCCCCACGTAAGGTCGCTGATCGTTAACAAGGTAGTGGAGGTAAAGAAAATCGACACCAACCTCCAGAAGGCTGACATGTTGACCAAGAACCTAGGAAACGGTTAAGTTTCTCAACAACCGTCGCCAGCTTCTAGGAATGTAGTCACCTCCCCTCTTGGTAATCTTAAGGGTTGAATGTTGAAGGAAACTCGGGAGATCTGTGTAAGAGGAATGTTTTCGCTGCTTGTTGAAATGGCAGGTAATGACTATTTAATTTTGAGTTGAGATCGCAAGTACTCGTGAGTTGTTTTCGAGAGGACATTTTTTGAGAGGACATCGAGAGAAGGTTCGAGTCTCATGTATCAGAATGACGTACGTTCTTGAGAGGACATGTTGGGGTGTTTGCTGTGCAAGACCGACTCTATTCTGCTGTATGTGTTTGATACGGTATTGTGAAGGCGTTCTGTTTAACTGTAACCGTCAGGTGCAGACAGTTCACGCGTCTGTGTGTGGATAATAAATCACTCTTTTTGTTTTCTCTACCAAGCCTCTACCACATACGCCAACCAGCGTACTACAGCTGTGGTACCGCCCAACACCTTTTTCGTTTGCTGTGATGAAGCTGACCCACAAAAAGGACGAAGACATTCCCTCCGCGGGAATGCTGCATAGCTGCCTTGCTGCCGCCGACACCAGCGGAGACAACACGCCAGACGGCAACACAAGATAAAAGCAAATGGTATCACAGAAAACTCTCCATGCACTCTGGATAATAACGTAGAATGCTGGCGGATCCGGTACTTGTTGAACTCGTATCCCCACATGCATGCCGTGAGTGGGGTGTATTCGGCCGAACGGTTGAACCTGAGCTGTGAGCTGTATTTCTCCTCTCCCCCAACCCGACGTCAAATCCTTCTTCCTCTCTTTGCCAATGGTGCTGGTCTCCATGATTATTATTCCGTAAGGCTGTTGTGCGGCAGGTGGTCGTCCCATTGCTGGGTGCTACGACTGGCAAGGGCATCAAGCGCGTGACGGTAGCGGCGTCTTTGCTTGCCCTCGTCGGCACCTGGTTTCTTGGGTTGGGAGACGCCCGCGCGTCTTGGAACGGTCTGTGGTGTGTGGCTCAGGCCGTCGGGTTCGGCGTGGCTTTTGCACGGATTGAGGTTGGCGCCGTTGTTTTTGTTTTCGTGGATACCATGGACCGCTGCTGTATCCCTCTCGCTGTTTGTCGTTGCCCATGTGGAGGCCAACAGTAGCGCACAGCGTTTCAGAGAGCTACACGATTTGTCGCTCTTCACTCCGTGAATGACAAGTTCTAGAAGTAGCAATATTTTTCTTCGTTGCATCCTTCGGTGTTTAGCTGACCGGCCTATCGCCGACACATGCCTCTACCCCAAGCAAACGCATGCCCTAACGCTCTGCACGCGATCGTATTGTTTTGTGTCCGTTCAGCACTACATGGAAAAGTTACCGGGCAAGAGCTTACAGCTGTCGATCGGGCAGCTGATTTCCGTCGCCGCACTGACAGGAATCTGGTGTACGTTTTCAGCCGGCGACCATCTTCCGGATTTCAGTTGAGCAGTCCGCGATCACCGTACGTACACAATAAGTTACCTCACCCTCTAGAGAAAGAGGTCAGGAAGGTAGTGAAGACCTCCAGCTTGAAGGGCTATTTTCAACGAGTCTTTTACTCTCTTTACTCCCAGAGATATCGCACAACCTCTGGAGCTGTGCATCAATCATCGCTGCTCCTTCCGTGGTTGTTTTCCACTCAGCTTCGTCAAAGATCCTCACATTTTGGCTGCTTTGAGTTACACCGGGCTGGTGATCACCTCGCTCGATGTTTGGCTGGAGACTATTTGCCTGGAGAAAGTTCCAGCGGTTGAAATGAGGTGAGGACCTGTTGCATTGTCCTGATTTGTGGCCGGAAACTTTGATCAAACGGCCGAAGGGCATGCTTTCGCTCGAGTTAACGGACGCTCCACCTTTGCGAGAAAGCGTGTCAGTAATCGTTGAACAAGACCGCCTCGGCGGGAACCCCTTGCACAAGAAGACAACTGTTGGTAGCATTGTACGTGGGCGTTGGTTCGTTGTTTCGAATGTCAATTCTAAACTTGTCAATTCAATCGGAACCCACATGCTCTTCCCGCCATTCCTGCGACGACATCCCAATGCTTCTTGCCCAGCGTAATATCTAGCACGGAGCCTCTGCGGGCCACGCTGGTGTCGTTGCTGTTCTTGAAAGAGACCATGGGGCCGTATGCCCTTGTTGGAGCGCGCGTGGTTCTTTTTGGCGTGCCTGGTTGCTCGAATCGAGCAAATATCGGAGGAAGCAGACTCGGAGTCGTCGTTCCGCATGTCAATGGTGCAGGAACACACTGTGCCGGGTGGTGTCCACGGGGAAGGCCCCGCGTTCGTGGGAGAAGAGGGTAGCCTTCGCAACAACGAGAACGATGTACCGGCGGCAGCCCCGGTAGGGTAGTCTGGGTCGTAGGAAAAATACAAGGAAACCACTTGATGAAACGTGGTGTAGGCTTTAGCGGTATGTTCCTCGCAGTGCAGCCTCTGCTGTAGAGAGTGTCCAAGGGGTTGGTCCATGTTAAACGTGTTCTCATGGAGGTCGTACAATGAATGCTTGATGTCATTGAGGTTTAGAGTCGCCAGCTCTCCTCTGAAATAGAAAATTGTTCTTCGTTCTGCTGTTGACACGTTTTGGTTCGTTCGGTGTTTTTAGGCTGGTGATTTGTTGTGAGTGGGTTGTGGTGGTAGACTATTTGAGAAAATGCGAGTGATTCTGCAGGCTGGGAGTGTCGTTAGGAGCGGTACAGACGTGTGTTTCCTTAGCTGTATGCATATGAAAAAAAATAGACCTGACATAAAGGTTGGGGATACCTCTAGCGTGACCTTGAAGTGGCACTTTACGTCTTGCGGTGGTGTAGCGCATTTATTGTGTGGTAGGAGCGAACGATGAACGGCCCGGGGGTTATTTTTTGTTCGCCACTGGTTTGTCCATCTGTGCACTGTTGTGCCTTCTTGAGGCAAATGCTTGCTTGGCGAGCCGCAACAACGTAGTTTTCAATGGAGCTGTCGAAACCGACATTATTTATCGTGGAAAAGTATCTGACAGGGTCGATATCTATTTGCAGTGTGGGAGTATAGTAGATACTTTATCCATTGGTCGACGAAATTGTTGCGATCGATATCTCGCGTTTAATAAAGGGGTGTTCTAGAGAGAGTCGTTGTAGCCAACAGGGGAGTGAGTGCTGCCACAGACGCGCGTTGCTGCTGGAGCGGAAGCAAACTGGAGTGTTTCCGTGTGCCGGACTGCAGTTACAGTACATAGTTGCGACCAACGATCTCGTCTCTCATTTTCACACAAGCGTGGCCTCCATGCATGCATACGCTCAGCTCGACCTTGGAAGGGCAATGATTTCGATGGGGGACAAAGGAGGACGGAAAAAAATGTTCCCCCAACGAAAATTTGGGTTTCTACAATATCCCGGCTGAGAAAACGGGGACCAGATTCTTGTGACAGAAAATATTTCTCGCGAAATATGACGCAGCGGCCTCTTGGCGGTGACCGGGCCTGACCATCCATCCGCACACATAGGGGACACAGTAAGTGTTGGTCTTCCCCCGGCTCGCCTCGTCGAAGCCAACGGGAGATAGATGCAGCCGTGGCCCACGGCAATACCTTCATATTTCCGTACTGGTCCAAATGACGCGGACGCCTTCCGTGGTCACAAGCCAACTGCCCCCCCAAAAGTTGCGATCGGTTTCTTTGGCTCCGTTGCGTGGAGTCCATGCATTCTACAGAATAATTCATTCCGACAAAAGACCTTCAGCCAAAAATACCGTGTCCCTGGATCACCAAAAGCTGTATTGCATCACACGCTGCCATCTCTCGAGCCGCCAATACATACTGACTGTAGGAACCACGACACGCCAAAGCCATGCACCACGTCAGCACATCGCACTCACCGCATCACGTAACAACCAGACTTCACATTGCGTGTTTATGTGGAAAATGGTTGCCCTCATCACGCCGAAGTGCTCGGCAAACTTTCTCCCTCCAACCCGACCATGGATGACGTACATTATACAACGTTCCAAGCTTAAAAATAAAAGCTAGGCAAGTTCCCCACACCGACATCCTCAATTAAATTACCAGGTACTGTACAATCCCTAGTGATGAGCAGCGTGCTGTAGGAAATAATCTTCTCACTCACTCTTGGCGATCGGAACACCACACCAGAATCACAGCATCGAGACTGTATTGGGTAACTTCCAACAGCAGCAGAGAGAGCAGAGAGAGAGGAGGCAAGTATGTGAGAAATGTGCTTCTGCCGTCGATGCGTGTCGTAAGAACTCACCGTGAGCGAACTAGTAGCTCTTTTTTCTGGCCACCAGGCCGTGGAGTTTCTCATTGGCGGCCGCCGTGCACAGCACGATGTGCACAATATTCTTGTTTCAATGGACCGCAAGAGGACTAAACCTAACAGTTTCCACGATTTCGTCGGTACTCCGTCCTTCCTGTCACGGATAACCGTAATATTTCGGCGGTTTTGTTCGACGTGGCACTGCTACGAAGAAGGCCCCGGTTCGCGCGGGTTTTGGACGGCGCACACAAAACCGCATAGATAGATGGGAGAAACAAAAAAATTTCAAAGGGTGACCCGCACCGCACCGCACTATAATGAATGGTGTGTGGAGGTTGACATGTTACCGTGCATGACCATGTTTATTTGAGGTTATCAGATGCTTTGACGTGACGTCATGCAATATCCGGGCTTAGCTTTTGTCCGAGGCACGTACCATCTGTTCAGTGTATGTATATTGTGTGTGTGCGTGCGATCGGGTTTGATCTTTTGCGGGGTTTGTGTGCGTGCGTTGACTTGGGTTGCGTAGGAAGACAACGGGAAAATCTCAATCAAGAGGAAGGAACAAAGGCATAAGCAACAACAACCTGCATCTCTGATCGGACAAGAGAGTGCACACAGCCCACCGGTCAAATCTCATTACAGCACCGTCAATCATCGAGTTAAAATAGCCGCACGGCACCGCACCATCACATTTCGAGATGAAACAAGCCGCACCGCACCACACCGTGGCCATGTCAATAAATAAAACACCGCACACCGACGTGGTTCTAGATTATATTCTGAATATCCCTGAAAGTGCGAGATGTTGGGCTCTTGTAGGCCTCAAGAGAGGGGCGGAGGGTGGCTGTGAGGGCAGGGAAATCCGAAAATTGCAACGCAGCAACACATTCAGTGAAGTCCTGTGCTGATTAGAGTCTTGTAGAGCGAGATACAGGTGGTGGGGTGTTTAAGCGTTAACTATAATAATCACCCCACCGGTGGAGTGGTAAAGAACTTTCCCCACCGGTGGGGTGTTTAGCCGTGCCGAAAAATATACTAGTAAGAAAGAAATGAAACCCGCGTGCGCTCAAAGAATCAAGGGATAATAGATACACGCACAGAAAGATTATCCATTTAGAGAAACAGAAACCGAAAGAAGAATTGTTTTCCGCGTATCTTGGGATCGGTCAAGACCACAACAGTTGTATTGAGCGGGGCGGGAAAGCCACCAAACGCCTTGTATGTGACTGACTGAGCAGGTTATCACCATCCAAACATCCAAACCCAACACCAAAAGCACCGCACGAACGCACGAACGCTGGTTTTGCGTCATGATGTTCCTGTACACTAGTGGCCAGTGGGCACGGTTACGGGGGGGTTAAAGTAACCTGTAACCCCTAGGCGTTGTACAACCTGCGTAACCCGGTCGGGCCCACCGTTGCCAACCTCAAAGGTCAGGCAGGGTTCGGAAACGCCGGCCCAAACCCAGTTAAGGGACATTTGTATCTATGCTTGGTTGCAGGCGAGGTTGTCCAAGCCCGCGAATGTCCATGCCTTGACGCGAAAACTATGTACCAGCCGGTGTCTACAGAGTACACGAATCACCGATGTTTTTGATATTCGCTGCAATAAAAAGAAAAACTGCAAGAGTGCCGGCGTTTGTAAGCCCGATTTTATTGTTGACTACCGTTAGACGCGCAAAAATAAAAACAGTACACCCCCCCCATCTCCGCACCAGCACTATTTTCAAAGGAACCTCCTCCTCGCCGCTGATCTTCAACTAACTGCCCACCGGTAACCCCGCGAGTAGCCCCTCACCCCTTCGTGAGTGCTAATTATCTTGCAGCTGTCGCGTTTTGGGGCCTCTGTTCTTACACCACAACGAAAGGCGGGTTCGTTCTTGTTCTTAACACCACGTCGGGCCTGAGCACGCACGTACGTGCTGTTAATATTTTTATATGGTCAATTTCTTTGATTTTGAGTTTTCTCGAGGCCGCATTTCTTAACTGCCAAGTTCTTAAGTGCGAGCGCCATCTTTATCTTCTGATCATGATGTAGTGCCGGAAGCAACATAGACATGGGCCTACTCTATTTATTTGATATATTTGATTTGATATATTGTTGATATATTGCTGCCTAGAAACACGCACGGCAACGATCGGGGGGCAAAGCAAGGACTGAGAAAAAGAGAGAGAGAGAGTAGGCGATGATATACTATAAACATACGCTGCCTCTCTCTGAAAAAGTCAATACGACAACACGTACGTACGTNCTGTTAATATTTTTATATGGTCAATTTCTTTGATTTTGAGTTTTCTCGAGGCCGCATTTCTTAACTGCCAAGTTCTTAAGTGCGAGCGCCATCTTTATCTTCTGATCATGATGTAGTGCCGGAAGCAACATAGACATGGGCCTACTCTATTTATTTGATATATTTGATTTGATATATTGTTGATATATTGCTGCCTAGAAACACGCACGGCAACGATCGGGGGGCAAAGCAAGGACTGAGAAAAAGAGAGAGAGAGAGTAGGCGATGATATACTATAAACATACGCTGCCTCTCTCTGAAAAAGTCAATACGACAACACGTACGTACGTACGTACGTACGTCGGTCTCCTAAAAATATATGATAATAGTGGTCGAATATAGTTTTATTACACAAAAAATCTCTACTGAAAAGAATTGCGCGCTCAGCACTAAATATTTCCATATACTTCGTATATATGTTGTTGCTGCTGTGGAACATAAAAACTTAGCAGACCAAAATCTTGCCATTGAACGATTGGTAATGGAAGACATTGCTCGGAGTTTCTGCTTTTTGCGTGGGGGGGAAGGCAGAGTAAGTGTGAGCTTTTCGGCCGCTTGGGTGGTGCTACCACAATTGTTCCCGCCCCCATCACTATCATCCCCGGTGTTTGCCATCCGGGTTGGGTTTTCGTCGCTTGGCAACGACGTTGTAAAACAAGCCAATTCATTTCGTGAACTCGGCAACCAGGTTGTTACCGTTCTTTTGTACCTCTGTTTTTTTTTGGCGGTAATCTTAATGGTGGTCGAGTAGATCATGTTGTGAGGGGTGGAGAACCCTCACTCCNAAGGCAGAGTAAGTGTGAGCTTTTCGGCCGCTTGGGTGGTGCTACCACAATTGTTCCCGCCCCCATCACTATCATCCCCGGTGTTTGCCATCCGGGTTGGGTTTTCGTCGCTTGGCAACGACGTTGTAAAACAAGCCAATTCATTTCGTGAACTCGGCAACCAGGTTGTTACCGTTCTTTTGTACCTCTGTTTTTTTTTGGCGGTAATCTTAATGGTGGTCGAGTAGATCATGTTGTGAGGGGTGGAGAACCCTCACTCCGCGCAGTGCGAAGGTGTACCGATTCAGGTAAAAGTCAATGGACGGTTACCCTGCGAATCGGGTCCTCCTTAACACTCTCCACCCTCTGAGGAACCCCGGAGGCGGCGCACCACGGAATGGAACATGACCACCGCGGCACGGACAGCCCTGGCGACCGCCCTTGACAAGCGACGGGCTGCGCGACATTCCTTCAAGGCCGGACCGAACGCAGCAACGTGGAGGATCCTCAAAGCAACGTGCAAGGGGGTGAAGGCAACAATCGCAACGAGCATCTACGACCACCTGGAAAGATACGTGACGGAGCTCGAAGCGATCTACCAGGACCGCGACATGCGGGGGCTGTACCAACACCTCAAGCGGTCAACGGGCCTCAGCGGGAGACAAGCTGGGGGGCAGCAGTTCGTTACAGACGAGAACGGCGTGCTACTCCGGAACAAGGATGCCATCCTCAAGCGGTGGCGGAGATTCTTCAATACCCTCCTGAACTCCAAGTCCCCCACTCTGAACCCAGACGTTGTCGAACAGGTGATGCAGCGACC